CCTCCTCCCCGATATCATTTTGGGTAGCCAGTGTCCAAGTTGCCCATCCCTGTCTACTCTGTGTATGGAGGGGGTGGGAATGATCAAAACCAGCTTTTGAATCCGGGTTTTAGTAAAAGTAACTGAATTCTGCATTTATCACTAGGTTTATGTCAAAACTTTGTATAAAATAATTGTGACAACAAATGGCTGATATATGAAAGCAGCATGCTGGAAAATGATGTCTCAGTGTGTCCCCAACTGCAGTTCCCAGAAAGTTTCTTCTAAGACTGCTGCACAAAGGAAAATATGTTTAGTTCATTAAATTGTTGACTCTACATTAAAAATTGAAATGTTGTGTACTTTCATGCGGTTGATTTGATCTCTCATTTAGTTATTTATCAAGGCTGATTATAGTTTGAATACTCAAATGCCCTTAGTTTCAAAATAATGAAACAATAATGAATAACACAGCATTTTTCTAATATTCTTTACTACTCCAATTTGATTTTATGATTGTAATGTGGCTAGTAAGCTTGGTAAGAAAGTCAGTTTTTATGTTTGTTCCTTTGTAAGAACCACTTCACTACCACATTGCATTAAAGTATTTTATCTAACTTAAGAATCATTTTGAACTAGTCAAATTTGCTTTATTGTACTCAATGATAGTTTGGGGGTTTGCTTTCCCAAATGGACCTTTTCCCTACAGTTAATAACTATATAGTTTTTGTATGCTTATATTATTTAAACATAATAAAATAATAGTTGACTTGTTCAATGAAACTTACAATTACATATTATATAACTTTAAAAATTCCATGAGGTGCAAGTCCAACATTTTAGTTGTTAGTTGTTGTCGGATTGATTTTGCCTCATGAAAACCCTGAGTTCAAAGTGAAACTGCACTTTATATGTTATTCAAGGCTGCGAACTGTCAGAAACAGATTACCTGGTGTGTCTTCAGAGGTGCCTCTAAGAGTGAGATTTGATCCGCCAACTTTTCAGCTGATAGTTGAGATTATATTGTAGGGCTGTGGGTTAATGCACTAGACTGCAAAGACAGTTTTAACCATAAGGTTGGTGGTTCAAGCTCACCATTCACACCTCAGCAACCCTATACAGGGTCGTTATGGGTCTGAACCGACTTGACCACACTTAACAACAACAAGTGTTTATTGTATTGCTGGGACTCCTAGTGTGATGCTGTAGGATATAGTGTGATGCTATTCTAATTAACTTTTTTATTTGTTATTTGCCTTTTTAACTGTTGTTGCACTGGGCTGCAAACACAAAATCAGTAGTTCAAACCCACTAGCCGCTCCTCAGAAACTCTATACAGGATCACTATGAGTTGGAACGCACTTAACAACAACACCAACAACACTGTATTGTTGAGATGCCCTGGTAGTGTAGTGGGTTATAATATGGGTTGCTATCTGCACGGTAAGCAGTTCAAATCTCTCAGCCTGGAGAAAGATGACGCTTTCTGCTCTTGTAAAGATTTATAGTCTTGGAAACTCTATACAGAGTTGCAGTGAGTCAGAACCAACACACAACTAACCAGCCATTATATCATGAGCCCTGGTGTGGCTCTGTAGGATAAGCACTGGACTACTAAATACAGGTTTGGTAGTTGAAACCCACCAGCTGTTCTTGGAAACCCTATACCCTGTGAATCAGAACCGACCCAACAGCATACAGCACCACCACCATTGTGTTATTATTGTTGTTTTTAAATGTTGTCAAGTCAATTCCAGCTCATGGTAACTGTATATAGTTTCAGAGACTAGCTGGTGGATTTTAACAGCAACCTTGTGGTTAACATTTCCATATATATTTTATAACACCACACCAGGGCTCTGCCCATTGTGTTAGTATTCATTTAATTTAACTTTAACTTTTTATTGTGAATTGAGTGAACGTTTTCAGACAAGATCACCAGCTTTACGTTCAACAAATGATAGACTTTGTTTCATCTCAATGACAACAATCCCCTCTCTGCAACAACAGTTATCCTACTTCCTCCCTGTGGCTCCCCATTTGCATCTGATATTTCATAAATGAACAAGGCAAAAATATTTGATGTACATATACAAATAAAAAAAAATGGTATTCATTTAAGTGTCTAAAGGGCATAGTTTGCAAGTCAGCCTCCTGCCCACAGGCATACATCCTTACTGTCAGTCTGAGGGCCTTGAAACACAGCTGCTGTGTCTCTGCATGTCAGCACCTCTGCCATGGCTTCTGTCTCTACTGTTGCCCCTTTTCTTGCTAGAGATCTCACCTACCATTCATGCTCTTCCTTCTGGATGGTCCTGGGGTCATCTGTTCCTGAAATGAAAGGTTACCTCCCGGGAGTCCTGGTGTGGCACTGTGGACTAATGTGTCAGACTGCAAAGCCGTTTGAACTGCAAGATTCGTGGTTCAAGCTCACCAGCTGCTCCTTGGAAGCCATATACAGGGTCACTATTGGTCAAAATTGACTCGAGAGTACTTAACAACAGCAACATCCTTATTTACACATCTTCTAAAATTACAGTTGTGACTATCACAATTCATCTTGCTAACAGTTACAATTAAATCATAAAAGCCAGCCTACCACCATCATCCCTCCATCCCCTTCACTAGCTCCATCTGGAAAAGAGGGAAACTATTCAGTGTTAATTTTAGTCACACAATCAGAAATAGAACCCACATCTAGTCTGTTTTAAATGATTTATGTGATTCTTCTAAGCCATCTAGAAAGTCTTTCTTCAAACATTTGTCTGAATCTCTGTATTTTACACACACACATATACACATATAGAAAAAGACATGTGAGAGCAATTACAAGAATGTCTTACTGAAAATAGTATGCGTTATCATGCTTTTTGTTTGTTTATTTGCCCTTAAACTTTATTTGTTTCTACAATTGCTTCTGGAAGTAAATCATTTTTATGCCTGGCAACCCAGATGAAAGTTTGATAAGACAGTATGTTTATGTGGGAACTTTTTCAAAGAAAACTCATGTAGCCTTTATTCTGTCTTTTAATGTGGCTAAACAATTGACCTGTAAGTTTGTGTAAACAATATAAAGTACAAAAACACAAAAGGAAAAAAGCAAAACAAAAAAATCGTAGCTCCCTGCTAGTTCAAATTGTCCTGTTCAATTCTGTAGCCGTGGTAAAAAGTGGCAGTACCACAGCCAGTTACAACTTTGCTCATAATGTACAGAACCTTACAAAACACTGTCTTGAGGTTGTAAAATTCTAACCAGCTCAAGATGTGCTCTTGAAGTAGTGATAGAGACACACTGACAATTCCCAAGTGACAATGGATTTTACATTATGCATAGTCCCAATATTTTATAATCTTTCTTTTCGGCTCTACTTTGTCTTCTAATTTCTTTAAATGACCACAAGTGTGACCCAAGGGAGAATGATTATAAAAAGTTAACTTAAAATTTTCACTAGTACCAGAATATTTTGATTAATGATTTTTAATTTTTTGCATTTTGTTCCTATAACTCAGCTGGTTTTTAAACTTTGGGGCACAAAGCATTATTGAGGCACCAAGTCAATTTAGTGGGTCGTAGCTAACATGTCATAAAATCTAGCATAATAGATTAAATGTACTAGAGAAATTTAATGAAGTAAGGGTATTTTTGAAGAGTTTGTATCGTGTGTGTGTGAGAAAATGAAGGACTGACTGTATGGAGTAATGTTCAAAATACTAGTACGCTTACCGATCAAAAAAGTTTAAAAGTCACTACTGTATATATATTCGATGAAATTCCTTTGGTATTGTAAGCAGTGTAAAAATTAATGTGTAATATCCTTACCAATTCTGACTTTTTTTATGTTTGCATTATGTTTATACAATAGCTACATTCTCACCTCCCCTTCCACTTATTAAAAAATGTTAGTATTTTTTTCTTACACCTTTCTAGAAATAGGAGTGCAGATGTGGCGCTGTAGGATAAGCACTGGACTCTGCTGACTGCAAGGTCAGCAGTTGGAACCCACCAGCCATTCTATGGAAGAAACATGAGGCTTTCTACCCCCATAAAGATTTACAGCCTTAGAACCCCTCTCTAGGGTGACTATGAGTTACATTTGACTCGATGGCAGTGAGTTTGCGTTTGTAGAAATAGCCTCTGGATTTACTGCCCTGCACTATGGTATGGAGAGCACTGCCGCAGGATTCCAAAGACTGACCCAAACAGACGAAGATCACACGCTATTCTGATTAAGTTTTTGGGTTGTTTTTTTGTCTTTTTAATTCTTGTTGCTGTAGTTAAGTACCGACAATGCAGTTCCAAGTCATCCTCATCGGCACTCTTCATAGGGTTTCTGAGGAGCCCCTGGTGGATAGAACCGCCTACCGTGCAGTTTAAACTGACTTTTCAGTTCAATGGTTATCCTGAGCATCATACCGGGGCTCCAGATTGAGTGACCAATTATTAGAGTTTCTTTCATTCCTTAGGAAACACATCCTAAATATAAATTTTACTGTTGTTGTTAAGTGCATTGAGTCGATTCTGACCCATAGCGACCCTGTTTAGGGTTTCCAAGGAGCAGCTGGTGAGTTTGAACCACCGATCTTGCAGTTCAAATGACTTTGGAGTCTGGCGCATTAACCCACAGCGCCGCACCAGGACTCCTAAATTTTACTAGTGTTCTATTTTTTCAGGTTAATTTGAACAGTGCAAAGAAATTACTTCAAATCTGAAAATTTGGTTTGGTTATATAATATAGTTTATTTATGTCAGTATAAACATATTGATGAAATACAATTTTTAAAATGATGTATCCACAACATGAATAGATTTAAAATAAACGTTGGGCTGAATACATTAGAATTACCAGTTATCAGCATATGCTTAAGAATAAATTGATATAATGTTTATCCTTATGACATAAAATGAATAATCAATCATTTTATACTATACTATTTGGTTCATATTTTACTTGGAATATTATAACTGTTTATTGTTTATTCACTTTGTTTTTTATTATTCTTTCATTGTCTTGTGTTTTCAGCTAAAATTGACCAAGAGGCAGAGGAGAATTCACTTTCAAAGACTCATAAATGGTAAGAAAGTACTTCACTTTAATCTAATATTGCTCATAAGACTTATAAAGGACTTTGTTGCTATTGTTAAATGCTGTTGAGTCGATTCCAACTTATAGCTACCCTGAGTAGGGTTCTCAAGGAGTGGCTGGTGAGCTTGAAGCACTGATCCTGCATTTCAAAGCAACCTTGTAGCCCAATGCATTAACCTGCAGCACCACACTTAATATATTTCAATACATTCTAACATAAAAGCAACACAATTCTAATATAATGTAGTTGTTAAGTGCCATTTAATCGGTTCTGAGAGAGCAACCTTATGCACAACAAAATGAAATACTGCCTGGTCCTGCACCAGTTCTACATTTGTTGTTATGCTTGAGCCCTTTGCTACAGCCAAGCTGTTAGTCCATCTCATTGTGGGTCTTCTCGTTTTTCACTGACCCTCCCTTTAGGAAGTATAATGTCCTTTACCAAGCACTGGCTCATCATGTTAATATGTCCAAAGTATGAGAAACAGTCTTCCCATTCTGGCATCTAAGAGGATTAAGGCTGTACTTCTTCCAACGCATATTTGTTTGTTCTTCTAGTAGTCCGTGGTACGTTCAATATTCTTCTCCCACATCATACCTTAAATGCATTAATTATTCTATGGTCTACTTTATCCAACTTTCATATGCACATGAGGCATTGTTTGAAAATACCCTGGCTTGGGTCAGGCACACTTTAGTCCTCAAACTTTGCTCTTGAACACCTTAAAAGAGGTCTTTTGCAAAAAAATTGCCTAGTGAAATACTTTGTTTGATTTCTTGATTGCTTCTTCTTGAAGGTAGATTATGGAACCAAGAAACATGAAATTTTTGACAACCTCAATCTTTTTTACATTTATCTTGGTGTTATTTATTGGTCTAGGTATTAGCATGTTTGCTTTCTATACTTAAGGCTCAATCCATTCTGAAAGTTGTGTTTTGATCTTAATCAGTAAGTACTTTAAATCATCTTCACTTTCAGTGAGCAAGATTGTATCATCTTCATATTGCAAGTTTTTGATAAGTCTTCTTCCAATCCTGCCGCCATGCTTTTCTTCACATAACTCAGCTTCTTAGATTATTTGCTCACATACAAATTGAATAAGTATGGTGAAAGAATACAGCCATGTCACACACCATTCCCGATTTTAAAACATTCATTATCTACTTGTTCTGTTTGAATGGCTGCCTCTTGATCTATGTACAGGTTCCTTATGAATCAGTTGTTCTGGAATACCCATTCTTCACAATGTTATCCATAGTCAAAAGTCAAAAGTCTTTGACTTTGTCGTAGTCAAAAGTCTTTGCATACTCAGTAAAGAACAAGTAAACATCTTATATTCTCTGCTTTCAGCCAAGATCCATCTGATATTGACAATGACATCCCTATTTCCAATTCCTCTTCTCAACCCATGTTGAGTTTCTGGCATTTCCCTGTTGATACAGTGTCATAGCCATTTGCTGAAAATTATCTTCAGCATGATTTTACTTACATGTGGTATTAATAATATTGTTTGATGATTTCTGCATTCAGTTGGATCACCTGCCTTAGGAATAGATACAAATATGGATCTCTTCCAATAAGTTTACTGTTGTCCAAATTCTTGGCATACATGAGTGAGTGCCTCCAGTGCTGCATCAGTTTGTTGAAAGATTTCCATTTGTATTCCATCAATTCCTGGAGTCTTGTTTTTCACCAGTATTTTCAGTGCAGCGTGGACTTTTTGCTTCAATACCATTAGTTCTTGATCATATGTTACCTCTTGAAATTTTTGAACATCTACAATTTATTTTTGTTACTGTGACTTTGTGTATACCTTCCATCTTCTTTTGATGCTTGCTGCATCCTTCAGTATTTTGCCCATAGAATCCTCCAGTATTGTTTGTCAAGGCTTGAATATTTCTTCAGTCCTTTTAATTTGAGAAATGCTGAGTGTGTTTTTCTAGCTGCAGGCTTTTGTACACTTTCATTATAATACTGGACTCTGTTGTATAAAAAAGATATTTGCAATAAGTAATTTGTCTTGCAGAATTATATCATGAGAGCTCCAGCATTATTTCAATCACCAAAGCCATATTTTCCCCTATTTCTCCTTCCTCATTGTTTCCAAGCTTCACATTCCAGTCATCAGTAATTATTAGTACATCTTGATTGCATGTTTGATCAAATTCATAGTGAAGAAATTGGTAGAATTCTTCAATTTCATCATCACTGGTTTTACTGGTTGGCACGTAAATGTGAATAATAATGGTTATAATAATAATGGTTATAATAATGGTGTTTACCATTGTTGTTGTTGTTGCTGAGTGCCCTCAAGTCAGTTCTGACTCAGAAAGGCCCTGTGCAGGGTTTCCAAGGAACAGCTGATGGGTTGAGCCCTGACCTTATGGTTAGGAGTGCAATGCTTATCCTATAGTGCAACACCATGCATATGGATATTATTCTGTCACAGTGTTGTACTTCAACATAGATCTTGAAATGTTCTTTTTAATGATGATTGTAATGCCATTCTTCTTGAATTTGTCATTCCCAACAACAACAGGAACTAGATGGTGGTGGGGAAAGGATTTGCACTGTCTAACTACACAGAGTTATCACCTATTGTTACCCAGGTTATGTTGTTATTGTTAAGTGTCCTCAAGTTGGCTCTGCATCATAGTGACCCTGTATAGAGGTTTTAAGGAGTAACTGGTGGATGAACTGTCAGCCTTCTGGTTCAAACTGAACTTGTGATCCAGTGCTCTTCCTACAGCGCCACACCAGGACTCCTACATCCATTTGTTTCTACAACCTTCAAGAGCTTTATCTTTCTAACGTGACCATTTGTTAAGTGCCATCTAATCGATTCTGACTCATCACGACCCTTTGTAGGGTTTCTGAGAAGCAGCTGGTGAATTTAAACTGCCATCCTTGCAGTTCAGACTGACCTTTCAGTCCAGTGCCTTATCCTGCAGTGCCACACCACTAACTATTATAAATTCTACTCATTATCAGTCTACACAAGGAGCTATGGTAGTGTAGTGGTTACAAGTCAGGCTGCTAACCTCAAGGTCAGCAGTTTGAAAGTACCAGCTGTTATGTGGGTAAAAGATGAGGCTTTCTGCTCCTGTAGAGATGTACAGCCTTGGAAACCCTGTACAGGCTTGCTATGACTCCACGGCATACCACCACCACCACCATCAGCCTAAACATGATTCCAAGATTGTTACTTTCTCTTCCCTGATCCTCCCCATATAGTCCCAAGATTGAATTCCTAAAGCCCTAATTTACACCTGTCAGTTTCACTAGTACTCTGGCCCCCTTGAATTTGTGAATGTGAATCCTTCCTCTCCTGTGTGAGGATAGCTCTGAGACCTTGAACTTTAATCCTTAACCCGAGGATGATAATCCCTACATTGTAGGTGAGAATTAAAAGAGGTGATTCTTGCCATATGCTTAACACTCAGTATATGTGGATAAATGTGAAGTGCTATTTTATCTTGATATTGTTATCTCAATCAGAGATTACAGAAAGTTTGGTGATAAAAGAAAAAACCAAAGTCATGTTTCAGAATAAAGCCATATACTCATTTGTTCCTTTTCTAATTTTTTTTTGCTGGCCTTTTCCATTGATCCTGTTATCAGCCAGCAAAGGGTGGATGTATAGCACAGATCTTGGTGCCATGTTTGAGTTCCCATGCCTCCTGCATTTAGCTTTGAAATATAAGAAACAATGAACATCAATTAAATCTATATGTAGTCAACCGGCCTCATAGAGAGTTTGCAAAATTCTGTAAACCAAAATATGTGAGCTTGGGGGCCCACTTTCAAAATAAACTCTCTCCTTAACAAACAACCATATAACTAATGAAAATTATTTAAAAATATAATAATGATGAGGAGAGGCGTGGTTGACTCTGCAGTCCAGGAGCGGAGGTTTCTGAGACCATCAAGGGAGAAGAGCAAAGTGCAGGGCCCTACCCAGAGAAACAATGACGCCAGAGATGGAGGCAGAGACAATGACATGGAAAGATAGAGCAGCCAGGGACTATAGAACCCAGAAAGGGAGAGGGGCTGTGAGCTGATAACTGAAGGGTAGGCTTGCGGGGTATGCCCTTGGTTGGTTGATGGTACATGGAGGGGATTGTAACCATGGCAATGAAATGATATACAATAGGATGAATGTAAAGTCAATGTTCTCCCATATAAACTATCACATATTTCACAATAAATTATTAAACTAAAAAATAAAAAAGAGGGAAAAAAATCCAATAAACTATGTTTGGAAATTCTCCTAAAGTCATGCATTCAATGGAAATGCATTTATGAAGAACATCTACTAAATCATTGGATTCTTGACTCCCACTGTCAGCTGAAAATCCATTTTATGGAAACTACGCTGGAAGCTCTAATCTAGGTGGGTGCAGCCAAGCAAACATGGGTTCTCACTTCCTCCAGCTCCATCCATGACTGTGTTTCTTCCATCACTTTGGATGAATTAACACTGATGTACAACACAGTTATAAACATGACTATGTGCTATGATGTATCCAGTTTAAATGGATTCTATTAGTACTCCCAATGAGGACTGTGCCACAGTGGCAGCAACAAACATGGCAGCAATTGTGAGGATGGCACAGGACTGGACAGTGTTTTGTGCATAGAGTCCCTATGAGTCAAGACTGACTTGATACCACCTAATGTTACTACTGTAGGCATAAATGCAATAAATTTTGATAATATCGTCTATATTTTAGGAGTGCTGGTAGCGTAGTGGATTACAAACTGGGCTGCTAACCAAAAGGTCAGCAGTGCAGACCTACCATTTACTCAGTGGGATAAAGATGAGGCTTTTTGCTTCCAAAAAGATTTAGAGCTTTGGAAAACCTATACAGGGTCACTGTGAGTTGGAACTGGCCCGATGGCACACAACTATCAACACCGTCATTGTCTATATTTTCACTGGTATTATTCCTGAATAGAAGAATCCACTTATTTAGTGAGCTGGAAGG